TCAAGGGTGGCATCAGATGTAGCCTCAGCACACAATTAACCTCACATCCTTCCACTCAAACAGCGGAAGCCAATCTCAATGATGCTACAGAGGGACTCTCAACTTTTCATTTTCATCATAAACAGCAGATACCCTCACACATCTTGCCAAAGTCATGAACCTGGGTCTGCTGCCCTCTGCAGTCCACGCAGACAGCGCTGCTTCTATGCAATGCCAGCGCACCCGGCAGCACATTCTGGTCTTCACAGAAGGGAACAGGCTTCCTGCTAAGAACTTGGAGACACAGTCTCATCACGATCTTGAAAGAACAAGTTTCACTATCCAAAGAATTTTCCCTTAATTATTTGTGAATACAAGTTTAAAAAAATCTGATAATCTTGATGTTAACTTTAAGGTAATCAGGGAAAATTGATTTTCTAGGATGATTTATTGATTGTTGTAGAATCTAATTGGCTCAAATTGTGTTACTTCCAGACTCATTAATCTGGTTGCTCTATTAATTTAGAAGCCAATTTGAAAGACTATTCTACTTTTTATTGGATTTAAGGTGCTTTATTATGTGAATAGCATTCAAAAACACTTCTTACTTGGGATAATATTCCTAAATTAAGAAAGATCATCTTTTTATACAAATTACATTTTACACAAGTTTTATATACTTTGATGGTATCAGGATACAAAATCAATTTATTGAAATGCTCACTCCCCATGCTATTAACAACAAAAATTCTGATGTAATAGGATATACAGCCATATATCTCTTAATAACAGGGACTTGTTGTGAGAAATGGGTTGTCAGGGCTTTAACCCCTGGGGCATTATGATGGAGTACGAGGTGGAACAGCAGACCACACACCTAGGTGCCATGGGTCTAGCATCACCTATGTTGTCCCACTCTAACTGAAACAATGTTGGATAGTTCATCACTGTGTAATAGAATACAATTTCTAGACTTTACAAAAGTAAATAATGTTAATTTCTGTCAAAACATTTCATGAACAATAGATTGTTCATATATTACTATCTAAATGTAGGAAGGAGAAAGAGATTAATAGCATGTTTGAAAGATTTTAGTGGCTCTTTCAAAGGCTATTTTGTTATTTGGTGTTTGGTTTTGATTTTACTTGAGGAAAACCTAGCCAGAAAATTTCAAACCAGAAATCTGAACTCAATTTAGTCTGAATCTACTATTAACCTCTGAAGAAACACATGAAAGGAACAAGGACAATCTTGTCGACAACATAGCACTAATGCCTAGATTATGAAAATAAGGCTTTTCAATGAACACAAAATACATTCCTTGTTGTCATGTACAGTGGTAGCACTTAAATCAGCTGCACATGGATTTCAGTCCATCACCTGTAGTACAGCAGGGGGGAGACATATTTAAGTTTCCCTTTGGTTTTGAGTGGAGTAACATTCTTTCAGATGCTTATAAAACTGAGATAATTTGAGAGTGACATCTGAAAGTTCCCCTCATGATTATTTGATGATGTCTGTCCTTCCTCCTTAAAGTAAATTGATTGTAAAATAAGGCTGATCCATGTGACATTTTGAGTTTGAACTATGATTATCCCAGGCAGGAGGTGAGAATCAAACTGACTCTTGACCTTAATATGATGAATATAATTCTTTCTACAAATCAATAGAGAAAACCCTTATTTCCATGTTTGTTTTCTATTATGAAAATAATTTAAGGGTAGCTATTCATATTACTATGGCATAAATAGTTACAATTAGCTCCCCTCTTAGAGACAAGTACATAGGACAGGCTTGACTTAATCCATTATAAATTATGTGATGTTGGAAAATTATTTAAACTTTTTGAGGCATGGTATAATCATCTGTAAACTAGAAAAAAACATGCTATTTTATAGATATTCCTGTGTAACTTTACATTTAAATTTTAGCAGAGTGCAGGAGAACTCTGTGTCCTTAAATCCAAAAGACATTTCTTCCTTTCTTAGTAGGGTTTAATTCTGGCTACGCATTTATAGTATGTTGTACCAAACATTAGTATTTGAATTTCCTTTTGAAAAGTTCTACCAAGATGTAGAAGTTGATATTCCAAGTTTTTTTTCTTTTTTCTTTTCATTCTTACAGGTGTTCCAATGAATAAAGAAAGAATAATTAACTCATTTTAAATATAAAAAATGTTAATTCTATTTTCAATTACTCTATGGGTACATTGCAAATTTTTAAAAAGTTAAGACACATTATGGAAACAGTGATTTATATTTTGAACTTCGTCAAGATATTTTATCATTAAAACAATTATTTCATCATGAAAGCAAAGATGCAGATTATGAGACTTCAGGCAAGTTATTCCATTTAACTTTTCTCAAATTAAAAATCTATGAGTTAACAGTATAATTATATGGATAAGATACAATTTGGTGATCATCCTATAAGTCATTAAACAGGAAGGATTTCATTACAAAATATCTTGGTTTGAGCCATTCTGTTTTGCTAAACGTAAGTGTGATATTCACTTCAGTCTATGGCCCAAAGCCACCTATGAGCATGGTGTCACTGTCACTAAGTGGTACCCTCATTTTCAAAAAAATGTGATTACTCCTATTTTTATAAATTCACTGACTTCTGAGTTGTAGCTTATGAACCAGAAACTTGGAAAAAAAAATGTGTCATCCACTCAGGTGGTAGAGCTATACATAAACTCCAATGCAATAGCAAAGGAAACCCAATCTATCAAATGTATATTTCTCATTTTCATATGGTGCAAAAGTAGAAAAGGGTTACTATTAACATAGCTATTTATAATTGTTATTGTAAACAACAATTGAGGAGTTATAATAAAAAATATAGTGTGGTCGTTAGAATCACCTGCCTTTAGTCAACAAATATTTATCAGCCAAATCTAATATTCTGGCCTAGACCTCTTGCCTCCAATGTGTAAGTTGTGCTGTCTTCCCAAGTCTTCTGCTCAGTGATCTTGGCACAGCTGAAAGCACTGAAAATGCAGATTTACTTGGTAAATGTACTTAGCACCTGGGGCATCATAGTATATAGAAAATGAAGTATATTAAAACACTTTTTAAATTCTTTAGAAATAGGTTTTCTTATAAAGGTGATAATTTAAATACATTCACAGCTATTATGAAATTATTGCTATATGAGTTATATATTTTAAAATCCTAACATAATGCATATTTCAAAAAACTAGAAAAAAATCTTGGCATTTTCACCATGAAGAAATAATAAATGTTTGAAGACATATGTGTTTAACCTAATTGAAGCATAATGTGATATTAATTAATAAGCACATTTTTGTTACAATGTATCAAAATGCATTCCACTGTCATATATACCTAACTAAAATAAATAAATTAATTAATAAAAAAAAGACACAGACCTCCAAACTACCAGCATGTAAACTACAAAAATTTGCCTTTAAAACATGCTCTAGTATTTCAAAATAGTTAATAGATACTCTTTTATTCTTAATATTGTTGGGAAAATATTGATACACATATTAAAAACAAATAAAATATATTAGAGAATCATAAAAAATAAGCACATTTTTAATCTTTTAGGTACCAATTAAAAATAATTTTTTTCAATTAAAAATTTTAACTAAAAAGTTGAAATATGTAACTTTAAAATTTAATTGTACTTACAATCATTTTAAAATATGATTTATGTTCAGTGCATAAATTTAATATGTATTGATTAGAAAATTGCAAGATATGTTGATTATTTTCAAATTATTTAAATTTTGAGGAAAACGATTTACTATATTTAAAGAATCATTAATTAAATATAAACTAGTTAAAGTGATTTTTCGAAGTTCATTAATATATTTGTCTTTCTGTTCAAGAAATCAGACATGTTTAAAATGTTTGAAAACATCAAAATTTATGTACAGCATATAAATTACAAGTGGAATAATCCACTTATAATATAAATTTTTTAAAAATTGTGTAAGCCTATTTTCCTTGGGAATTGTGAGTTCTAGTACGTTTGCATTCTTTTCTTATTTTATTTTAATGATCTCTACCAGTCTACACATATGTCCCTGATGTCTAAATTTGTTAAATTTTATATTTCTGGGCAGTGTAGCACAAGGGAGAAACTCAGAACTTTGGTATCTTCCACTTTCTCAAAAACTATGGGTTTTAACCCATAAAAATTGAATAAATTTAAAAGGTTATTTGCATATTTATAATCATGTATTTTTAAAAAAATATATGCTTAAAATTACAAGATTTCAGATTTTCAGGATAAAATGGTTCAAGCATAAACATTATTGAACATAGTTCACTTGACAGTTTAAAAACCATTAACAATTTCCAGTATCTTATGGTTGAAAAATGAATAACAATTATGATGTGCCTATATCTTAAGATATTCCTATCTGCTACTGTATTAGAAAATTAAAAGTAAAACATAAGGTTGGTTACTACACCTGATAGGTAAAAAATGTAATTCCTGCTTTTGTAAAATACAAATACAAATGGTCTCCAACTAGCTTCATTGCGAAATTTAATGTCATTTAGAATATATTGATTTATGTATTTCTGAAAATAAGACTATAAAATTTTTGGAAATTAGGGGCCATTTGAAAAATAAGCAATGGTATGTATCATACAGAGTGCCCTACAGAGTGTCTTTAGAAATTAAATATTTCTAAAAATAAAATAATAAAAAATAAAAAAATAAAAATAAAAAAATCTTTGTTTTTAGAAATTTTTTAAATAAAAAGAAACATATACTATTATGTTGAGCACAAAACAGAAACATGTAATTAAGATAATTAAAGTGTCTATGAGAGCATTTCAAAGTGGGATAAGTATGTAACAAAATCTATGTACAGCATATAAAATATTAATCATGTCTAACATGTGAAATATAGAATCACTATAGTATAATATATATAATATCACATGAATATTAGTATTATACGTGATATAGTCATTATGTATAATATATAAAACAGTGATGTGTTACTCAGACTTAGGTAATTTAGGAAGCTTTCTTACCTGACCAGAATCTGCATCTTCACACACATAAGTCTCATAGTATTCAGAGAACTCAGGAGCATGATCATTGACATTTAGAACTTGTACATACACAGGGACTGAAGAAATCTGTTGAACATTGTCTACAAGTTGAAAAATATACAATGAAAAAATAAGTTTAATAATGTCTTATAATCATGAAAAATTGCCTTCAAGACTATATAGTATATATCTTTTTTTCACTTGAAAAACCAAAGAACCAGATCTCTATATGAGGACAGGATCTGCAAATGATTCATGTAATTTTCAACAATATAGCCAAGGAAAATTTCTGTTTCACACATTCTCCTCAAGCAATGTTTACTAAGTGTCTTTCACTGGATGTGGTGGGAAAACAGTAGGTATAAGGACAGCTTGCTTCATTCCTGTGATTGCTGTTAGTATTTATATAAACACACTTAATTCTGATGAATGTAGTTATTGTTAATTTCCCTGACTTCACTGACAGAAGATTGAGAAACCATTTACTATTCAACATTGTCTGAGGTTTCAGTTGATGTGGAAATACTTGTTTAAGAATATACAAGGCAAGCTGGGCACAGTGGCATATGATTGTAATCCCAGGAGGCTGAGGCAGGAGGATTGCAAGTTCAAAGCCAGCCTGAGCAACTTATCTATGCTCTAAGCAACTGAGCAAGACCTTATCTCTAAATAAAATATAAAAAGTGCTGGGGATGAACCTCAGTGGTTAAGCGCCTCTGGGTTCAATCCCTGGTTCCCAAAAATATATACCAATCAATTCTCTTAATCACTAAAATTTAGGTGCACCTTTTAAAAACAAAAATCGTTTTGTTTAAATAGAATGTTCCACAATGTACAATAATTTTAAAATTATATTTTATTTTAAAAATAAATTTAATATTTTGAAATATTGATACTTCTATTTCAGATGATCAATTTCAACATTGATGATTTTGTATATAAATTATATATCTACTTTTATTAAATCTCATGTTTTAATTTTTTTCCTTAAAATCAGTCTGAAGCCTTACTGTTTTTTTCTCAGGAGAATTCAACATTTCCAATTTTTTTCCTTTGTTCTTATGTCATCTGCATTTATTTTCCTTATTTTCAAATATACAAATATAACTGAAAAATAAATGTATTTTGGTTTTATTGTTTCAAGAAAAACTTTTTTTTCTTTTCTTTTTTTCCTCCTGGTATCACGATTGAATCCAGGGGATCTTAACCACTGAGCCACATCCCCAGCCAAGAAAATTGTTTTTTAAGAGAATTTCTAGCATATTTTGGCAAGACAAGCCCAGAGTCTTTAGAACATATTTGGTATTTAATTGCTTTTTTTGAAATCCCTTGAATCAGTTTAGTTTTACTAGATACATGTTTCACTCACTTGAGAACATAGGAGAAACAACAACAGTATTGGAGAGAAATGAGACACCTCAGGGAGTAGTGACGGGAATTTGGCTAAATGTTCTCATAAATTGTTCAAGTTTGGTTCTAAGAAAGCCACACAAGGGGGCTAATTGAGACCGTACATTTGAGTCATTCATACAAATAAAAGCATTTAAATATAATTTCTTGCAAATTTAAAAATGGAAAAATGTGACTGGTGAGGAGTATAGTGTTTATATTTAATTTAGAAAACACTGAGTGAAACACATACTTTCTTTCATTTGCTCTATTAATATGGGACAATGTAGCATAGGATTAAGACAACAGGCTTTGGAATCTGATATAATTGTGATTGATCTATCCATTTATCACTGAGAGTGGGAAAGCAAATTACAGAGGCTGCAGTTTTGTGTGTGTGTGTGTGTGTGTGTGTGTGTGTGTGAAAGTCAAATAATATTGACCTCAAATTTTACTGTGAATTTTAAAATGATGTTACATAAAATATTTTAACAAATTGTTGAGATGTTAATCTGTAATATACTCAATAAAATGTTTATAATATGCAGTTTCACAGAATTCAATCTTTTTAGCCACAAACTATATATTTTATAAATTAATATGTGAAAATGTGATTCAGAAGTGACAAGATGAAGACATTTTCCCTGATGTGCCTCAAATGATTCCCAGTTTCTGCTATCATTGCTGTTTGGTTATTTTCTTCAACATACACAGCATTGTAATATCTATAGTTTCTAGTGTAAGCCATTGGAATATGTCATCTTTTAAACTATAAATTTTATGTTCTATTAACTGAATAATGTACATTACCACACACATATGCAAACATGTGAATTATGCAGAGCATATGGAGCTATTTCTTAATGCTGTAGGGGCCGTGGGTCAGTTGGGGAACCAATGCAGCTTAGGAGCTGAAGTCTTGTCTGAGTACCTGCATTGTACTGTGCTGGTCTTTAAATATTTGAATATCACCCTTGAACAGAATATATGATGACATAATTATAGCGTTTATCAGATTATGCACTTTATTCATAGTATATATGTAAACATACAAGTGTTGAAGTAACAACTTTTGTGGATAGCAGGTATCTTAAAACTCAAAGATATGTATTATTGTTTTTGTTTTGTTTTACAATGATGAACCAAAAAATGATCAGATAATTTTCCAATAGGGATCTTCTATCATAGAAAGGCATTCTTCTGATAAAAAGTAATTATATAGCTAGTTTGATAGTATATAATTAAATTATCTGGCAATTTTTGTTGCGTTCATTTATTTTTTTTTTTTTGATTCTTTTTATTCATACAAGATTAGAGCATTTTATATCCAAAAGTACAAACTATAAATTTTAAAGAGTTTACCTTCTAGTAATTCACATTATGGTACATCTAAGTTAAGAAAAGAAATTATATATTCTTATAAGCATCATATTAACATACAAAATAAGCTTAAATAGAAAACATTTCTATACATTCAATAAATTTTGATCATCTAATAGCTGAGAGCAATTTTAGAGAGAAACATATTTTTTTTTTGAAGAGTCTGGTCTTCCCTCGAACTGATTTGGATTCTTTTTTTTACAATAGCTTTGTATAGAGTGACATTATGAATAATTTGTTCTCAGAAATAAATACGCATTGAATAAAAGTTTCTTGCTCTCAGAATAAACACCTTTGTGCCTCCTGACAGGAAAAGCCTTGGCATTTCTTCTGCAGCAGCAGGCATTTGTTCCATTGTAACATTTGCTCCTCGTCCTTTGTTGTTTAGTTAGACAGAAAATTCAAATCCTGACCCAAGTCCTGCTGCAATATTTCTGCAGAGTTATTCAACATATTGCAAAAAACATATGAGGGCACTTTCCACTCTGCCATATCACCTGCAGCTGTTCAATAACATGAGGAATACGGTAGACTAAGGTTTAAAGCCTCAAAGAAATACAAAAAAGTGAATAGGATTTTTAAAATTATAAGAAAGGATGCCTTCTAAAACATCTCAAATTCACAGCTTCTCTCCTGTGCTGTACTACAGTATTACACTAAATTCATGTGTCAAATAATGGCGATGATTTTGACAGTCTTTCCTATTGTGTTGTATTTATTCCTTTATGCTTTATGTCAGATGATTGAATAACCGATTCACTCATAATGTTATGGACACTATTCAAATGGTAAATTGGTATTATTTTACCCACTTTTATACCTTAACAATGAAATCATCTGCTTATCGCTGAAACAAACAAGCAGACAACTGATCATTAATGATTAGTAAGATCTGACCATCAGTTCAACTGCAAATGTAAGTTTAGTTAAAAAATGGACCACTCTTTTTGGGATATGCAGACAGCTGATGAATATGATTTGTATCCTCCATATTCTGTACTATAGTAATATTGAACTATGATTTATGTTAAATGTCTAAATTCTAAAAGAATTAACACTCACATTTTATCCTAAACACAGGAAAAAACAGAGGCATTCCGTATTTTCTTTCTAGAAGAGTTACTTGTGAACTGATAGACTAAACTAGTTATGTTTGAACTAAACAAATATAAATCATTATAAACCTAAAACTTTAGTTCAGATCTTATAGTTTTACTATTATTTTCATAAAGCAGCATATAAAACTGACAATCTGGGGAACCAACACCATGAATTGAGTGCTACAGTTTGCTACCTGAAACTGTCTTTTCAGATGAATGTTTTTAGAAATTACATAAGATTTTCCTTTTTTAATTAAAATGATAATATAAAAATAAACTCACACAGAATATGTGTTCAAAAACTTGTAAAAATATGTTTTTAGTTTTTAATTATTGAAATGAAAATACTTCAATGCATATGATTGTCAGGGCATAAAATTTCAAGTTTTATATGTTGTGTTTTCCTCCAAATTATCTTTGCATTAAACATTATTTATTGTTATATAATAAGTAAAACAGTTTAGAAAATACTTAGTGGTAACATTTTAAGAAAGCTTTAATAGAAATGAATATATAATTAATTTATGATCAAATAATATATATATGTAACCTAACATCTAACATCATTTAACTACAAATTTCAAGAACATTTAAAAATAGCTCTGTCCTCAGGTGTAGGGATAATGCAATGTCATTAAAACCACCATGATGAAATATATGGTTTCCAAATTAGTACTTACATCTTTCTGTGGCTGTGACACTTAGGTTGTACCATGCATTGATCTCCCGGTCAAGTGTGCTAGTGACAATGATTGTGCCACTGTCACTGATAGTGAACTCTTTACTTCCAGTAATGGAATATCTGCACCAAGAGAAAAGAACCCCCTTGTATCATCATATTTGCTGTATCACATTGATATATAACATGGCTTTATGCCACCAGGTAAATTATTAAAAGCATACTCTGCGTAGCTAATGAGATGTCGGTTTCAAAAATGGCACATTCACATATTTAGTGAACTCAGCAGTCATAGGAAAAAGAAACTAATACAGCTTTACATTTAAATTGGTGTATGCTAAATGTAAACACACATAACTCATTATCAAACCCAAGAGAGGATTTTAGTATGTAAATGACATGTTTAAAAATAAATCCCCTGCCCTCCCCCCAAAAAAATTTTGTGAGATACAGAGAAGAAAAAGTAAGTAGTAGAAATGAGTGACTGTGAACCTTTTCTTTTTTTCTTTCTTTCCTACACAAGATCTACTGCGTGAGAATCTGTGTAAGATATTATATGATATTATAATTACTTAATTACTATCATACAAAAGTTTCTTTTGTCCATTTAAATAAAAAAATGATAAGACTTGATAAAAATAACTTCTTTTAGGTAGCAAATTGACCTTTAATTTTGTTCCAGAATTATATAATATTTCAAGTTCCAGAAATATCCTAGATCCACTGTCCTTTACTTAGGGGATGCACATATTGATTAATGTACAATGGAGCACACATGAAAGGAAGTCAAGGTGCAAAATACATCAGGTGAAAGTCTGCAAAATTATCTCAAATCTACAATGAAAGAAGCCTTGAAGTTCTCAGCATGTCTCATCAGCTTGCAAATGATGAATAATGAAAAGTAAAGTAAAATACCATGTGGTTTCAATGATGGCTTCTCACTGTGCATATATTCCTGAATATTTCCATGAGATTTCAGTGAGATTTGCCATAATTGTGGCAAAGATGAGAATAATTTAATCTTGAATTGACAGATTTCTAAAAATATTATACTAATTTTTATCATGGTGTTCAAGAAAGAATTAAAATAGAAATTAGAATGAAGACTTAGAGGAGTTCAGTTTTAAATATATTTGAACATTCAGAAGCATTTTATTTAAATGTCTACAAGTGATCATATTTCCCACTGAATATATTTGTCGGCAAAATTAAAGAGGATTTTAACAGTTGACATTTTGTATTAAATATCCCATTTTGTTTCTGGAAACACCACTGCAACTAAAACCCACTAAAAGTTTGATAAGGAGTTATAAATTCTTATAAATTAGTAGATAATGAATATATCTAGATCCCATTGACAAATTAAAATGGAATAAAATCATATGCAGTCCCCTAGGAATATTGGATAATAGTATGTGATTTAAGCAATAATATATAATATGAATTATTTTCCTTATTTTTTTCTAGAGCCGCCGATTCTGATTTTATAGATTTTTTTTCTTCCTCACATCATCTTCACCAGATGAAATCTCCTTGGCCTTGAGATAAATTGTAGCTAATCAAATTTTATATGTGGATGCATTTTCCTTTTACAACATTTTTTTTAAATTAGGAGAAAACATCAGGAAACTAATCAATAGTAAATTATTTTATTTTGGTTTGTACTATCCTCCTCTCAGTTACACTGGCAATGTTCTCACTAATTCAATTAAATGCATATTTTTAAATAACTTAAGTCTCACAGGACTGTTGTCAACAGTACAAATTTTCCCTTAAGCCTCTCACCCAGATTCTGCTTCTAAATTGTTGTGTATGACCATAATGTTATTATTATTTCAAGATAAATTAAATGCTCTACTTTTATTAAATAAAATACAAACTGTAGTATTGGATTTCGCCAGTCATTCCACTAATATTTTTTTCCCTTATTCATAGTTCTGTCTGGAATTATGTAGTGCATTTTTTTCCATGTCTCCTTAGTCCCCTCCACAGTGTATCAATGTCCTTGTTTGGTAGGCCCTTTAGTGTATGGAAAAATATTAGTTGGTGATTTTATACAGTGCCTCTCAAATGTCGGTGTCTGTCTGAGGCTTTCTCATGATCAGATAAAATGGGCATGAAAGTTACAGAGGTATCAATCTTGTCTTAGTAATTGTAATATTAGCTGTGATTCTTGATCAAAGTATCTGCCAGGTTTCTTTACTGTAAAACTACTATGTTTTTGTAATTATCAAAGATCTCAGGAAGATATTCTGAAAACATTCGGTTTCTTCTTATATATTAACCTACTGATTTCAGTATCCATGTATAAATAATGACCACAATATTACCACTTTAGTTTGCTAATGTTGATATCTATTCCTTTTATTATACATTTACTAATTACAATTATTTTACAAGTGATTGAAAATTTGCCCCTTTATTTATCTTCATCAGTATCTATTCATGAGTATTCATGAGAATTGTTTCCAATGATTCAAACCAAAACTCATCAGACAAACCAAATATTTTAATTCATTTGTTGTTCAAATATTCAGTTTTGGACATTGGGTATTAATTACAGCATAGTTCCTTGGCCCTTTTAACACACTTCTATTCTTGCATTCTTTTATGGCTTCTTCCTTACATTCTTAGAACCACAATGTTCTCCCTGTAATAACTGTGGATTCAACTAATTCTCCAGTCAGTCTCATTTCTTTTGATTGGAGAAGAGTATTTTAAGCAAGATCTGGGTGCAACAGTCTCCATTACTTCTTGTGATTCCTTTATTTTAAGCCCCCTGAGTAAATATCAAGAGCAAATATATGTATGCATATCTGTGGTAAAAAACAAACCTACCTTTATTATCATATTTATTATATATACATATATAGAGTCAGTTATTCCTTCACATATGTGGGTTCACGTCAGTGTAGTCAAACAACTATGTATCAAATGCATTTGGAAAATGTGTCCACCATCTTGGTGATGACCTAGAACAATTCGATCACTCCCTCTTTTTCTGCATTACCTTTGTATTCAATCATATCACAGGTTTTATCTTTTAGCTTTAGTTTCAGGTTTTGATCCATTTGCCCCAAATATGTCATGTGTTATTAAAATAAAGTTTTCAGTTTGGGGAGTTTATGAATAAAACTGCTATATATTTCTGCCTACAGTGCTTCATGTCAATACAAGGGCACTGTAGGTGAGTTGGACCCACCCAAACACCACAAACTGAGTGGATAAATATGGCTGAAATTTATTCTCTGAGTCCTGAGAACTCAGAATACAAAAATCAAGTGCCATCAAGGAATCATTCCTTGCCAGATGCCGTTGTGCTCTGGCCACCCTCACCTCCTAAACTTGTAGATACCCTCCATCAATTTCTGCTTCCCTGGTCATCTATTTCCCCCATTTCTGCTTCCACTGTCCCTTGTCTGTCACCCATCCTTGTGCCTAAGTCTTTCTATCAGGACATCAGCTCTATTGATTTCAAGGCCCACACTCCCGCTCTGTAACATTCTCCTAACTACTCAACACTTCGACTTCGACCCGTCTCCCCCATTCAGGCTACATTCTGATGTAGTTTGTTGGACTCAACATCATCTTTTGGAGACATAATTAAACTCAGAACATTGCACTGTCATTATTCCTGAACCAGTGCCTGAGAGGAGGATTTCTGGGGCTTCTGATAAGTGTATGTAAAACTTTAAAATAATCTTGTATTCTTCTATTTTGAGAAAACTCTTCTATGTGGAAATTAGGTGAGAAGGTAAGAAGAAATACACACAAATTGCTTATTTTCTTATTCAATTAGACTATAACTCATACTTTGAATAAAAGAAAAAGAAAATCACAACATAATAACTAAAAGGAGACTATTTTAATATATAACAAACATGTTGTATCTGATTGTACCATGAAAATTTATTTCTAAACCATTGTATTTGTATCACTTGCTCCGGTTTATTTCTCCATTTTTTGCATGGCATTTCAATTAAGCAGTATTTAAATGAACCACATATCAATGAGAAGTAATTTTTCTCTGACTTGGTACAGAAAAGGGTTTCATTTCTCTCACCCTACAACTCTGATTAAGAGTGCATCAACTGCACTGAATTTTTGTTGGTGATTAACTATTTCTTGCATGTATTTGTCATCTCCTATTTTATTGCATCTTAAGCAACATTAAGGATCCCTCTGTTAACTAATTTAATTAAATTGGTACAAATTCATTTAAAAAAAAAACATGCAGAGCAACATAGGTGAGCTATGTCCTTGCTTACATTAGAGTTAAACTTTATTTTCATACTAATAGAGTGACTTATTAATGTAAAGCTGACATTTTAGACTGACTTACGTGATGGGCGATTTCCTTTGATCTGGGTCTATGGCAGATACTGTGCCTACGAAAGCTCCATGTGGATTTTCTTCCAAAATTTCAAATATATAAGTTGGGAAGAGGAAAATAGGATGCTCATCTTCATCCTCCACTCGGACCTTAATGAAAGTGGTGGAGGCATCAGCGTGGTAGATCAGGAGCTCCTTGTCCACATGCCGGTTCCTAACTTTGGCTCTAATACCGTAGTGGCTCTGGTGCTCAAAATCCACCTTCTACAAAGAAAAGCAGTGTACACAGAAGAAATGGCTTCATGAACCCAAGGTATTACTTAAGGAAAAAAAATGTATTTCTTATTAAATAGCATTTGTTTTTCAGTTAAATTTTACTTTTTATGTACATAAATTACTATTATATTATCATGACACAGGCTTCAGAAATTTATCTCTTCACAAACTTCATCATAAAGTGGTTTGAAATAACTATCTTTTCATTTAGGATTAAAATTATATTTTTATAAGCATACATGTCTTGTGGAGTTGACAAGTAATTTCCTGGTATTTATGATCTTTGTTCAAAAAATCTCCTTTATTTGAAAACCTTCTTATTTATAACAGTTGTACATATAATTCTAAAAGCTCTATAAAATCTCTTTCATCTCTAAACTCATTTTCTCCTTAAACCATAAATCAAGGGTTCACATTCCATTTACTTAATGAAGCAAAAAACAAACCAGATACACAAAATAATTATGTTTTTTTGTTTTGGTTTTGCATATTCTGAGAAGCAAATAATCTAAAAATATATTTACCTTTTTTAATATAACAATTCCTTCTTGAGTCTCATTATCAGTAATGATGTCAAATGTTTTTGAATCATCCTCTTCAATGCTATAATCCATTTCTGCATTCTCTCCTATGTCACTATCATATGCCATAATTTTTCCAATAGATGTTCCAATGGGTGCAGATTCAGAGACTGTTAGGCGGTAGAAACCTTTAAAAACAAAATTTCAGATTCTTAGGATAAACACTTAACATAACAAACTCCCAATTATAGCATTCTTTGTGTATGGTGTATAGAAAAACCCCTAGTTATTCTTCTAGTTACTTTTCTAAATTTCAATCTCTTTCTCTCATTCTTAGAGTGCATGCATGTGTGAGTATGTGTGTGAGTGTGTGTAATATATACACACTTTTTACCTTTATTATAAAATCTGAACTTTTCCTAATAACTTACCTGAGTATCTATCATCGTCTCATATATTTTAGTGATACCACCAGTATATAAAACTCCAGATACCCATTCATATACACACCTTAAATTCTGTGATTGACTTTTTATTGCATACTTTGACCATTAAAATTAAATTTGATAACTTTTTTTTCATTTTTACTTGAACAATTCTTGATATTTGAAGTTACTTATGAATATAAGTGCAGATTAAGGTTGGGAGAGACTGAACACATAATAATTTGGTTTTGAATTTATGAGCTTTGATCACATTAGCCATATTTAAAAAATAAAGAAAAATGGACCCAAAAGATGTAATAACTTAATAACAATTTCGGAGCTGAAGATGACTAGATTGATTTAATCAGATGAAAATGATGTCAGATATATTTAAATTATTTAGATGGAATTGTAAATTACTGAATTCATTTTTAAAATTTTTTTTCAGAAGACATGTGCATAAATCTAATATACTCTACCATACTTAAATTATTATTTTAAAAAATTTAGTTGTCTATGGACCTTTCTTTCATTTATTTAAATGCAGTGTGAGGCAAGTACTTTATCACTGAGATACAACTCCAGTCCCCCATTCTTAAATTATTACATGTGATTTATTCTGAATTGTAATAAAAAATCCTAGGTGTTTATATTTCAATGAATGAAACTTCTTGAAATTAAAATAGAGCATACATAATAGAATTATTTAAAGGAATTTTAGGTTCCTTTAGAAGTATACAGCAAGTTACTTAACAGCTTGCATTTTGAGACTATACTTTTATTTAAAGCGAGAAAATAGTTGCTTATAAATTGTGAATATATTACTCTTTATTTTTTGTTTTCTTTGTTCTTTTATTTTTTAGAGTGAATGTAATGATTTAACTGTAGTTATTTCCTTATGGAAAACTTTTTAAAAGTCATTGATTTGATTGTACAAATTACAGTTCCCAACAATTAATCAAGAGAAAACAACAACATTACCATACATTTCAAAGCAGATGCTTCAGAATTAAATATTGAGTTTATATTAAACCACCAGGTTTTAAAATTAAGAAAACAAAAGAACATTTTCTACCATCAGTACTTAGTCTTTGCAGTTTATTTTACATCCAAAAATAACTTTTTTTTTCAGCATAAATTTTTAACAAGTCCCTATTCTAGTACCTGGGATACAACAAGGTAAAATACATAGAATGATGCTTCCCTCTGCTCATATTAGCAGGAATGAAGCATACAATAAACTGGATACTACCAAGTACTCAGGCTATGTTGTGGTGGATGATTTTAAATTTTGATGAAGTGGAAAGAACTCACTGTTGATATGGCTCTTGGTTAAGAACTTAAGTAGGGGAAGAAACATCTGAGGACAGAGAAGATGAAAAGTCATGTTGATTGCCCGAAGTTGGTTTTCCAGAAAGCAAAGGGTAGAGTGACATAGATGAGGTCTCAGAGGTCCTGAACAGGATTGAATGGTGTCAGATCATTTAGGAACGCTAGGACCCATTAGTTGATACTAAGGTTGCTGACTTTTCATCTGTGAGATGGGAAGGCATAGAACTGATAAGATGTGACATGCACTTAGCAAGATCATGACAGCTGTGTTGAAGGAGGAAGATAGTGAAGCCCGAGGGCTAGGTGAGAGATTATTGCAATAACAGAGACTGATTAAGACAGCAGCATGATCCAATGGGGCAGGAAGGAGCAGGTGAGAAGCATCCAGATTGTTTTGAAAGTGAGAAACGAACAATACCTTCAAAGAGATTGAGTTTTTGGTTTGAGAAAGAGAAAAGGACTTCTAAACCTTAACAGAATCTTCTCCTCTTGAAAGTTGAGTGTGTGTATATGTGTCTTTGCTCACAGAAAAATAAAAAATCAGAAGGTATCAGCAAATGTACAGAATTGATCATCAACTCAGCTGAGTAGAAATTAAAATTGAACTGGATTTGGCCCAGTTCAATCTGAGTTGGATCATTAATTCTTCGCACCCAGTGGTGTTTGAACTGAATAAATGAGATTTCAGCTTGAGCAATATGGAGCCTGGATTTGTTAATAATTGAGATAAGAAAATCCGTAGGAAAAAGAGGAATAGCAGGCAGATGAGATCAGAAGCTCAATAAGGAGAATGTTAGCTTTTAAATGTGTATAACATTTACAAATGAAGATGCTGAGTAGGAAGTTTGATGTCTACCTGTGGAGTTCAAGAGAAAGTTCAAGAGTGGACATGTAGACTTGGAAGTTTTCAGGCCCAGCAGCAGTCTTTAAAGCCACAGGGTTGATAGCATCAAGGATTAAGGGTACTGGGAAAATAAGTCCAATGACTTGATCCCAGAAATATATCAAAGATTAAAATACATAGAGACTGAAAGTCTGAAGACTAGGAAAAGACCAAAAACCTAACCAATAAAAAAAAAAAGAAAAAGAAAAAGCATGGAGGATTTTACAATGAACATTCAAATTGTGTCAAAAAGGAATTTTTCAGATCCATGATATTATTATGGAACCACTGCCATTCTTCATTGTTGAACAAAACATTTTTTGATACATAAATGTTTTGCTTGACAAGTCAGAAGATTTGAGAACCCTAATCCAGGCAAGAATTTGCTAAGTTGAGCAGCATCTACATGATTTAGACCTGTGCATTTAGTATGTACATGCACACTAACAAACCATTCTCCCATATACAACTAATGATTGGGAAACCTGATATGTAAAAATAGATTTAAATGTTGCTAACTTTCTGTGGTTTACTGATTATTCTACTGGAAGGAAATGAGTGAAATTGACTTCTGTTAAGCCATCAACATAAATATGATTTCACTGGACATTGGGGCATGGGGCAAGTCAGGGAGAAGGGGAGAGAAGAAGAAGATGAAGTAATCAACAGTTTTGTTTCATTTTTCAACAGTCAATAATTAGGACATCATGCTCTGGTTGAATATGTGTGAATAGATACAAACACACACATACACAATTTTATTTGCTACTTCTTTGTTCTATGTTTAATCATAATTTCTTCTTATGACAGTTGCTCATTCTTTCTGAAAATGTTTGTAAATGTATCTGTGTAGCTAAAACAGAGTCTCCTCAAAAGATATTTCCTTAAAAAAAGAATTTTCATACAATCTACCTTACATTTATTATTTGAGCGATCAAAGCAAGTGTCTTATTCTTGCAACAAAATTGAACAATAAAAATAGTCATTTAAATTATTATTTGGTGTATGCAGAAGAATAATCTCACAAAAGTATCCATGTCCTAATATCTCTGATTCCATAAGTTGACTACCTACAGCCGCAAAAGTGAATAAAAGCTACAGATGAAATTCAAGCTGCTAATCCGCTGGCTTTTCAATGGAGATCTTATTGTGATTTATCCAAGCATGCCCAACATAATCATACAACTTCTGAAAAGTGGAAAAAGGGGTAAAAGGTTTGGGCAGAGAGATGTCAGTGTGAGAGGTACTTGATAGGGTTGGCTGCTTGATTCTGAGACAGGCGGACTATGTAGAGAACCAGAAGGAGGCATCCAGAGTTGAGTGTCCCCCAGCTAACAGGCATCAAAGAAGCAGGGACTCCCTTCATAAAACACACAGAACTAATTTCTGCCAACACTCAAGTGAACAAGGTTGTGGACTCTCCCCTGGAGTTTACAGGAATGGGGAGAGCCCCATCTACACCTTAATCACAGCCTGGTGACAACCCATACCAACAGTTTTTTAAGATAATCAATTTGTTTAAAGCCATGAAGTTTGTCATAGCTTGTTACAGCAGTAACAGAACACTGACATTCTACTCCTTCATTTGTATTTGACTTCTCACAGAAATGAAAATTATACCTTAGAACAATCATCACCTTCATTTTATGTAATCCTTGTGGTGATACAGTGCTTTTAGAATGCAAACTCCAACATCTGTTTATATCCAACACACTTACATTTCTATAATAATGGTTACAGATGTTTCTACTTACTTTCCTTAAATACTGGCTTATTGTCATTAATATCTGAAAGTTTAATTAGTACACTTGTTGTTCCAGACAGTGCTCCAGGCTGACCAATCATATCTTTGGCTTGAATAATTACCCAGTATTCATCTTGCAGTTCTCTGTCAGTTTTGGAAGATATTCTTATGACTCCTTTAAAAACACAAAATAATTCCAGTTTTCATTTCATTATTTATCATACCATCTTCCTAGTTAAATACATAAACAGTCCCCCATACAGTCATTCTCTTTCTATCTGCTGAATCACTAAACTGAGCTGTCTACATTATTTAGATGTTTGCATTTGATATGTACATGTACACATTCCCAGCCTCTCTGGTAAACCATTCATTATCTGCTGCTTCTGCCTGACATTACCTGGAAGAACAATAATAATAATGGTTTTAACACCAACTCTGCTTCTAGTCTAGACTGGTCAATGCTAAAAACACTGGTAGATCATTAGTAAACTATATGTTGGTCTAGGAGTTTCAACTCTGCCATGCTATGCTGTTATCTATTCCCCATACCCTGCAATGTCCTTCCAATCTCTCTTCTACTAGGCCACGGGGTCATTTCAGCCTTCTGGATTCAGATACTCTACCTTGACCATGCAGTCTAAAGTTTTGCTTCCTTTCTTTGTCTAATGGAATCCTTTGTTTCACTTTAGAGTTATTCACCAGTTCAAAGTATGTATTTACGAATAACCACACTTACTGTCTATTTGTAAGTGCCAAGAGAGAAAAGTCCATGTTCAAGTTTGCTTTTTGTAATTGTTATGCTACAGTATCAAACCTCTAAAAATCCTGAATGTTATGTAACACTTTGTACTTAGTCTTCAAGAGCCAAGATGGTGTGAAGGAATTAAAACCTAATGTTTTAAGGCATCTACTGCTTATAATAAAATAATGTCTCTCCTGGGTATCCTGAAAAATAAAATATATGGACTCTCTATGAGAGAAATAAGAACATAGGCACGGAAGTCAGATTCATTCAAATATAATGCTCTCAAGGAGTTTGAGATTGGCTAAGATATTTAATATTTGCTAAATGAATGAATACATTAGAAACACATAAAAATCAATTTTGTTTAATTTTTAATGTAATCAAACTAGAATAATATTTGCCTCTTGATAACAATCATATAATTTTACTTATTTTTGCACTTGGTACATAATTTAGCAATTTGTTATAAACTTCTTTTTTATCTCTATCAATTATAATTTCCTTAGGTGAAGACTCATACAAGTATCTTTCTTGTTGTTTTGATTTTTAGAGGTAGGGTTTTTCTTTTTTGCCCAGGCTGGACTTGAACTTTTGGTTCTCTTGCTCATCCTCCCATGTGGCTGGGATTTATGTGTCACTGCATCCAACTCTGTACCTTCTTAATCTTTGTTTTGAGTACAAGATTTAATATCGGTTAAATGGGTCAGTGTTATATATGTATATGTATTCTGTATTCAATAGAAATGTGCAAAAAGAAAGAAAAAATATGTGTTCTATAGATTTTATGAGGCATTCAATTGATAAAGGAAAATTGGAGAAACAATGAGAGAAAAAGAATCAAATGTAATATTCACCTAAACGAAATACATAAAAACAATACTTTTAAGTGACTCTGTCAAACCAATTCATCCTGTCTTCTACCCTTACTTAATCTCAGTCATTGGGATTGCTATGCAAACAAATGTATCTCACCATGTTTTCCCGATAACTAATGAGGCTGACTGTTTTTAAGGTTTATAGTTTTTTTCCACATCACTTTTTGTGATTATAAATCACAAAAATTGCTTGTAAAATTTTCTCCCCATATTTTTCAATTGGTTTGTCTATCTTTTTTCCTAATTGATTTTTAAGAATCCTTACCTATGTTTTATACCACATACATAAATCATTTGTGATATGAATATGGAAAATTCAATCATCTAATCTTAGAAAAACAGCTTAAAGACTAAATGTAATTAAATGTTTAGGAATTGCAACCCATTTATTTATTGAAGATTCAGGTCTACTTTAAAACATGTCTTTAAGCTGATATTTGCCTGCTTTAGAATCATGTTAAAATGCAATTTTTAATATTTAATTTTTTAGTTGCAGTTGAACATAATATCTTTATTCTATTTATTTATTTTTATGTGGTGCTGAGGATCAAAACCAGGGCCTTGCATGTGCTAGGCAAGCACTTTACAGCTAAGCCATAACCCCAGCCAACAAAATCAACAAAATATATATATAAAATCAGAAATACCTGTTGTGGGTTCAACAGAAAAATAGGCTTGTCCTTGTCGTAAGCTGTACAGGAGACGTGCATTATTGCCACTCGTAGGATCATCAGCATCACTTGCTGTTACCTGGATGACAAATGTTCCTGAAGGAAAAGCACATATTGACAGGAAATTAAGACTCCAATCTTATTAAATATGAGTTCAATTCTGCAAAGCACTTTTCATTAGCAAGAAAGATCATACCATAAAACAAGATCCTAGTTTACCTGCTTTCTCTGAATTACAGAAGTAATGTTATTTTACAGACAAGGAACATAATCCTATATAAACTAGCCCTGATTCTTCTACACATTACAGAACTTCAGATGCAGATTCATAACATGTCAAATATTAAGCAGTTTACTATAATATATAATCCATAATCTTTCCAAGATGTGTTATTATTGGAAAAATTAAAAAAAAAAAAAAAACTTGAAAATGCTTTTCATCAAAAATCTTAATGTGGCCGGTACCTCAAACAATTGCATAATGTTGACAAATATTGGTAACGATTATTGAAATGAGCTTGAAAGAATATCCAGTGGAGGCTAAGAATAATGATTAGGCCTGTTTCAGTTCTTTCCTCTGTACCTATTTGCTTTGAGGAATAATAAAAAAAGCAAAACAAAATCTAGTTGATATTAATAAAGTAAGCCTTCTTTCTAACTTCAGTATTAATCAATACAACCATGTGAAATAATTATTTGTACATTTACTATAAATGCCCAAGTGCAAAAATATTTGCATAAAATATTGAGCTTTGAAATCATATCTATACAAATGAAATTGAGAATTACCAATTTCATCAAAATCTACATTTGTTGAAACAAAATATACACTTTCAAAAAGAATGATCATACAATGGTACAAAATCCAATAAGCTCTGTGATTTTCTTTAGAACTAGTATTATGAATTTCCCCATCACTAACCCTGGACCATGGCATGTGCCTGTAATCCCAGGCACTAGGGAGGCTGAGGAATAAGGATCACAAATTCAAGGCCAGCCTCAGAATATTTGAGAGGCTCTAAGAAACTGAGTGAAACCTTGTCTCAAAATAAAACAAAAAGGGCTAGGATGTGGTCAGAGGAAAAACACCCCTGGGTTCAATTCCCAGTAGCAAAAAAAAAAAAAAAATTCTATCACAATCCCATTGTATAAACTGGGACACCCTAGTAGGAATTGCTTCTATACTTCAAACTGGGGATGGACCTCAGTACTATGCATTTGTCACTATTTGTATTAGTTCTTTTAATGTTACTTACTAACATTTATTTTAGTATCAAATAGCATATTTTACCAAAGAATCCCTTCTTGTTAGCATAACTTTAATTAGGCAACACTTTCACCAGGTTGAAATAAAACTAGAATAATAAAATACAGGAAAAGAAAAATTTACCTACCCCTTCCAATACTTAATTATTCCAACCACTTAACATGTAGACACTTGTTAATTTCATATATTTTTAAGACATGTCTATACAATAATTTTGATGATTTATTCAAATACAGTGCTTCAGAAGGAGCATTACTTTAACCAATCTGTGTCAAATCAGCTAGACTGATTGTTTCATTTCCCCTTCTAGGTACACATCCATTGAGTTAAGGAGTTAGATCCTGTTTCCCAGCCCTGCTCTTTAATATCTCATTTTAAGTTGAAGCTTTCTTTACTTCTAACTGAAACTTACCTCTTGAGCATCTCAATATGTCATTCCCTTGCTCTCTACAAAATGGAAAACCTAGTGTACTGTTAGAGAGAGAGAGAGAGAGAGAGAGAGAGAGAGAGAGAGAGAGAGGAAATAAAACAGAGGGATCTCATGAAATTAGAAGAAAGACCAAAAAGTTGAGGAAAGAGATTGAGAGGGAGGGAGGAGGGGAAAGTATAGGGGAGTACTGAGGAATTAAATCTACCAAATTGTCATATATGAATTATGAATATACCACAATAATCCCACTTAAATATACAGTTATAAGGCACTAAATTAAAAATAATAATAATAATGATAATAATGCTATAAGAGAAATCAGCAGAGTAGAAACAAGCATATCTTGGTGATGGAAGAGGAGAAGAAAAGGGAAGATATGGGGGAATGAGATGCATGTGTGAAGAGGGCATAATGAAATTCACTATTATCTATAATTATAAAGCACCAACAAAAATAAAAAAGGTCATCAATAACACATAAATATCAAAAGATTTCAGAAATATAAAATCACTTGATAACATTTTATACATTCCTATTTTGCATATAGTTAGGAATTAGTTGTTCAGTCCACACAAGAATGAGAACAATCAGTAGGAGACTAACAACATGTCTTTCAATATAAAATATCCATGGTCTCCTAATCCCTTCTTTCTCATATTTTCAGTTACATGCACATTAATTAAGCTAGTTAGATGTTTGTTTGTATTAGTTCTTTTAACTGGACTCTACCAGACCAAAGATTCTCTTAATCTTAAATCTTAGATGTGGATGAGACAAATAAATGATTAATTACAACACTAATTTCTATAAGAATGCATGACATCCTTCCTTTCTTGGTCAGTAATATTAGAGATGCTTCAAGCTTGACTCTTGAAGACCTCCACAATGCTTTTTTCATGTACCCCAAGGTTTCTGGGCTTTCGTAACTACTTCTTTTTATGTTGGGATCATTATTTCCAACTAGAATCTCTGCCAGTAGGTTTATAAGAAATGTGGCTCTATATCCTGATCATCTGTTCCCTAACAATACCCCAATCATCACTATGAATTGTAATTGTTCTGTAAAATATTTCAGGAACTGTTCTACATAAGAACCATTGCTATTACATGCTCATGTATACCTACTTATGAAATTGTTTAAAAAAATATTATTTCTATCCAAAAATGCATTGTGATTTTTTTAATTCAAATGACAACTAAATATCTCATGTTATGAGATATTTACAAGACCTTCACAAAAATAGGATATTTTTTCGATGGCAATACATATTAGCACATTTCAGCCACTGGGCCTGACCCGCCAGGCTGTCACAGGTCTGTTTACCTTGCAAGCGCGAAGGGCGGCTCTGCCCTGCCCCTCCTACCACGCCCATGTACTACTGGGTCGTGGGTCTGCCCACCTGGCGGGTGTGGGTGGCGGCTCCGCTCCGCCCCCTCTCCAATTGGGGTCACGCGGTCACCACGCTGGCGAGCCGCTGGGCCTGCTCCGGGGGCTGGCGGCGGCCCGGCTCCTTCCCTCTGGCTCGAGGACAAATTGAGGAGACTCGGGTGACTGAGCCTCACCCCCCTTACCAGGAGACCAACTGCTTATGTCACCGCTGGTATTGATGAAGATCTCTCCTCCACCGCTTTCTGCTGACATCAGATCTCTGCCATGTTGTTATCCTATGCGAATGGCAGCATTTCGTTCCCCTTGCCAGGCAACCCAAGCAATGGGTGAGTCCTGACCTGCCCTCAGCAGGACCTGGACCGAGACACAGTTTCCGCGGGCTCCTAGCCCCGGTCCAGGGAAGTTCCGGGAGCCGGAACTCGGCCGCTCCGTGCTCGGTGTAAGCTCCTATAAGTGTAGGCTCCAAGAAGCAGCCCCCGCGGGCTCAGTTCCGGGAGCCGGAATTCGGCCGCTTAGTGTTTGGTGTATGCTCTGATAGTAGCAGGGTCCAAGAAGCAGCCTCCGCGGGCTCCGCAGCCCTGAGCCAGGGCGGTTCCGGGACGGTTCCGGGAGCCGGAACTCGGCCGCTCTGTGCTCGGTGTAAGCTCCTATAAGTGTAAGCTCCAAGAAGCAGTCCCCGCGGGCTCAGTTCCGGGAGCTGGAATTCGGCTTCTTGGTGTTTCGTGTTTGCTCTGATATTAGCAGGGTCCAAGAAGCAGCCTCCGCAGGCTCCGCAGCCCGGAGCCAGGGCGGTTCCGGGACGGTTCCGGGAGCCGGGACTTGGCCGCCCCGCGCTCCGTGTTCACTCCGATAAGATCAGATTTTAAGAAGCCCCCAGGCGCTGAACCCTAGCAATCTGTCTGCAAGCCGCAGGCGAATTGCAGCCTGAAATTACCTGTTCTATGGCTGAATGAGCTGCGGTCAGTCAAAAACAGGTGTGGTGACGTCAGTTTACCAACATGGTGGCTGCTGGCCTCCTCTGTGGTCTGACCGGTGTGGAGAACCGAGATGGACCGCTTCCTTCCCCGTCTCGAACCCAGAATTCAGCCCTGAGTGCGGTGCTTGCGCGGCTGGCAGAAACTGCAGCGCTGTAACCCTGCGTCTCTATCCCAGCGCGCGTTGCAGACTCTAGCCGCGGGGCGATTTGCTGAATAAGCAGTTTTACCCTCCGTGCGACAAACCTCTCGCGTTTGAGTCCCCGTAGCCGATCCTCGTGCGATGGAAATCCTTCCTCCAGGTTCCGGCGCACCCCACTATTGCTGGAAATTCCTAACAAGATATCCTTTAGCCGTCCTGACTTGTCATACTCCCACACAGTGAAGCAGCACACGGGGGTAATGCACTCCCCTCGCCGCCATCTCATGTGTAGGTACATTTATATTCTGATATTGCTATGCTGTACTGAAGAGTATTTATATCACATACATTTGTATTTCATATACATTATAGAATCTGTGTGAATCCTTAAAAAAATTAATCTAGATAACTGTTGAAAGGGATCCTAATTAGGATTCTAAAAAAATTTACAACTATTATTCCACACAAATGAAGTGATAATTCAATAGAGAATATAAAATTTTAATGAAATCGGATCATTAAACACATGGTTGTTTTACCAGTAGAAAAGCAATCAATATACATTTTAGCATTAATAAAATAAAGAAGGAACATGTAAAATATTACATTAGAAACATAAAGTCATCTGAAAAATTGTAACTTTTATTTGTAATAAAACTTTAGAAAATTGGAAATAAAAGGTACTGTATAAATCTGAACGTGAACATTTTTTAAACTTGGACTGAGTCATATTTAATTGGAAAGTGCTAGCACATTGCTTCCGAAATAATTTTAAAAAGTGATTCCTCCTATCACAGTTATTTTTAAACATTGTACTGCACTAAAATGTTACTACTAAGAATTTATGAGGAAATGAGGGATGATAGATATAGAAAAAGAATAAGTAAAACTAC